AGATGTGTCATTGGTAAATATGTTCTCTCATACAGTGGGATCCCTTTTCATTTTATTGATGGTTTCTTTGTTGTGCAGAAGCTTTTTCTTTTGATGTCCTTTGTTTCTCTTGCTCTGGGTGATGTATCAGTGAAAATACTGTTACTTGAGATGTCTGAGATTTGGGTTCCTATGGTTTCTTCTAGGATTTTTATGGTTTCACAACTTATAATTAAGTATTTTATCCATTTTTAGTTTATTCTTGTGTATGGTGTAAGTTGGTGGCCTAGTTTCACTTTTCCGCATGTACCTGTCCAATTTTCCCAGCACCGTTTGTTGAAGATGCTACTTTTACTCCATGGTATTCTATTGCTTCCTTTGTCAAATATTAATTGAGCTAATGGCTTGCATCGATTTCTGCGCTCTCTGTTCTGTTCTATTGATCTATATGCCTGTTCTTGTGCCAGTACCAGGCTGTTTTGATTACATGGTTTTGTAGTGTAATTTGATATCTGGTATTGGGATCCCTCCTACTTTGTTTTTCTTTCTTGAAATTGATGTGGCTATTCAAAGTTTTTTTTGTTCTATATAAAATTTTGGAGTATATGTTCTAGAGCTGTGAAATATGCAGTTGGTATTTAATAGGGGTTGCATTGAATCTATAGATTGCTTTAGGTAGTATGGAGATTTTAATGATGCTAATTCTTCCAATCCATGAACACTGTATATGCTTCCATTAGTCTGTATTTTTTTCCTATTTCTTTTTTCAATGCCCCATAGTTTTCAGGGAACAAGTCTTTTATGTTTTTGGTTAATTTTATTCCTCACTATCTTAATTTCTTTGTTGCAATAGCAAATGGGATTTATTTTAGTTCCTCTTTCTGAGAGTTCATTATCCGAAGTAAAATATTTAAACCCTTCAAATCAGTTTTATCTTTCAGGATTTAATTCAATCACTGATGACAACTTTTATGTTAAAGCTCTATAATAAATAGCTTTAGGAAATTTAAGAAATGTAATTTTTTAGACTCATGGGTTTCAAACATTTTTTACTTTGATTCAGAATATTAGTCTTATAAAAACACAATATTGATAATGAAGCAAAAGTTCAAAAAACCAATACTAAGCCTGTCTATCTAGAATTTAATATGTTGCATCCATTTTTTATGACAATACATTTCTACTGTAGTCTCCCCTCCCCTCCCCTCCCCTCCCCTCCCCTCCCCTCCCCTCCCCTCCCTTCCCCTCCCCTCCCCTCCCCTCCCCTCCCCTCCCCTTCCCTTCCCTTCCCTTCCCTTCCCTCTTTCCTTTCTTTTCTTTTCTTTTCTTTCTTTTCTTTTCTTTTCTTTTCTTTCTTTCTTTACTTTTCTATAATGCTGAGAATAAAATACTGATTCCAATCTTTTAAATTACTAATGGGTCATAGCCATGTTTAGAAAATGCCACCTTATTAAAATAAATACATTTGAATTATATGAAGACATTACATATTTAGAATGCTATTACATAGTGATTTGAACACTTCCACTTATCAAGGAAAACACTCTAAAGCTAGGCTAAAATATGATAAGAGTTATATAAATCAAGTTCAACATCATAGATAATTTAAGATCCTGGACAATGCATTATATCTACTACATAATCATAAGTCAGCTGTGCGTCAGTTCAATATACCCAGCATTATAAATAATCTTCTAGACTGTAAATGCATGCTAAACATTTTTTGTAACCTATGTTCTTTAACCTTTATAAATTGTCTTTTTTTTCCTGCCATTTTTCTAGTCTACGCTACCTCATTCCAGTAAGTACAGAACATTTCAGAAAATGTATTTTTGTTCCTTTAAAAGATAACTGAGGGAATATAAGATAACTGTTACTAATCTAAAGGCCTACATAGGCAGTTGATAACTCTCACTAGCACACAATGTTTAAAGATCACAACCTATAAATGCCCAGTTTATTTTATAAGTAGTTTTATAATTTATCTATGTTGAAAGAGTTGGAAGGACATGGATTTTCTAAAGATGTTTAGAGCTTCTAAGTTCTTTGATTCATCATCATTGTGGCTTCTGCCAGTATTCGCTCATGTAGTTCACAGACATATATATTTGCTTAAAGTGATAGGGCTAGTTTTGCATTGACATTTCCACCATTAAAGGAATCATAAAGCACTATTGAAAGTGATGTCTTACATGAATATTATTAGAATGTTCAGAATATGACAGCTTACATACACTAATCACAGGTTGTCAATGACTATTTGTCAAGTATAAATGGATTCTCAAAAGGTTTGTATTTTTTCCAATACCCACAACTAGAAATTCAATTAAAACTATAGAAGACTCTCTTGTATTCATTTGCATTATATCTTCTTTGGAAACCAGTTTTCACATATGAGTAATAAGGTAGCTATTTATTTTGAATCCTCACCCAAGGATATTTGTTCAATTATATTCAGGTAGAGTGGGAGGGAGAGAGATAGAGAGAATGAGAGAGAGAGAGAATGAGAGAGAGAGAAAGAGAGAGAGAGAGAGGAAGAGAGAGAGAGAGAGACATCGATGTGAGAGGGACACATTCACTGGTTGCCTCTTGCACAACTCCGACCAGGGCCAGGGACTGAATGGCAACTAAGGTACATGCCCTTGACTGGAATCGAACCCATGACTCTTTGATCCACGGCTGGTACTCTAACCATTGAGCCAAGCTGGCCAGGACTAAGGTAGCTATTTTTAAATATTTTAGAGAGAGAGAGAAACATCGACGTGAAGGGACACATCGAGTGGCTGCCACCCGCACGACCAACCAGGGCCGGGGACAAACTGCAACCGAAGTACGTGCCCTTAGCGGGAACCGAACCCGGGTCTCTCTGGACCGCAGGCCGACACTCTAACCGCTGAGCCAAACTGGCCAGGGCTAAATATTTTTTAACAAACAATGTTAGCATACATTTCAGAATAATAAATACCTATATAAATAATGACAATTGTATTAAATACAAAAATAATGTGCCTTCATCTGCATATTTTCTAATTTAAAAAAATCAAATGTCACAGTTAAATATTTATGCATTCCTCATATGCCAATGTTATTACTAAATTTTGTTTATATTATAATTCTAAATGGCTTTTAACTGGTGGTTAGAATTTTTGACTTATGAGCTATTTTTTCATTAGAACTTATATGAATAAGTGGTCTTCATGTAGTAAATTAGGCAGAATTGATTGCAATAGTCTAGTTATATCACATTATTATCACTCATTTTGACACTTTAAAAAGTAATGTTTTGAAAACAAAATAATTGTGGAATATTTCTTTGACAATACTCTTAATTTATCATTTATCAAGATTCTTTGCTTAAAAGTAGATCTCATAGCCCAGCCCGCATGGTTCAGTGGGTTGTGCATCATCCCGTAGAATGAAAGGTCCTGGTTTGGTTCCCGGTCAGGGCACATGCCCAGGTTTGGGCTCGATTCCCGGTGGGGGTGTGTCGGAGGCAGCGGATCAATGTGTCTCTCTCACATAGATGTTTCTGTCTCTCTCTCTCTCCCTTACTCTCTCTCTAAAAAAAATCAATAAAAAGATTTTTTTTTTAAAGTAGACCTCATAGTCAGAATTAAATTTTCAATAGAGGCTTTCAAGTATCATAAGAATCCCTGGTTGGCTTGGCTCAGTGGTTAGAGCATTGGCCTGCGGTCCAGAGAAACCTGGGTTCAGTTCCTGCTAAGGGCACATACCTAGGTTGCAGTTTGTCCCCAGCCCTGGTTGGGTTGTGCGGGAGGCAGCCACTCGATATGTCCCTTTCATATCAATGTCTCTCTCTCACTCTCTTTCTTTCTCTCTCTCCCTCCCATTCTATCTGAACAAAAAATGAAAAAAAAAAAAATGTCCTTGGGTGAGGATTAAAGTAACATAAGAAAATAATTATATTCTGGTAATTATGAAAATGTTTTGATTTTCTCATTCAGGTAGAATTCTTTAGTAATCTATGTATTCCTAATGGTAGTATAAGTAGGAGATACCAAAGTGATGTTTGCATTATGATCAATATACGCATAATATTAAAAGTCAATATTACATATTATTCAGATGGAGCATCTTACTCCAGATCGAGACAATAACCCACTTTCACATGCCGATGTTAAATGCATTTTACATAAAATCAAAGTCCTCTTTTTTTGTTCAAGTAGAGTGGGAGGGAGAGGAACAGAGAGAGAGAGAAACATCGACGTGAAGGGACACATCGAGTGGCTGCCACCCGCACGACCAACCAGGGCCGGGGACAAACTGCAACCGAGGTACATGCCCTTAGCGGGAACCGAACCCGGGTCTCTCAGGACCACAGGCCGACGCTCTAACCACTGAGCCAAACCGGCCAGGGCAAAGTCCTCTTTTTTTAAAAAAAAATTTAATACTCACCCAAAGATATGTTTATTGATTTTTTTTTTTTTTTTTTTTTTTTTTTTTTAGTAGGGGAGAGAGAGAAAGGCAAAGAGAGAGGGACACATTGATAAAATAGAAAAACATTGATCGGTTGCCTCCTGTATGCACCCTGACCAGGGATAGCACCCGAAACCTAGGTATGTGCCCTGACTGGGAATTTAACAGCAACTTTTCTGGTATATGGAGGACGCTCCAACCAGGCAGGGGCAAGTCCTCCTGTTTTACAGGAAGATGTTTAAGCTTTTTACTGAAGAATAACTTGCATAAAGTGCACAAGTCATACCTAGATCACATAACTTCTTCGTACATGTCCACGGACTGAATGCATACATCAACAATCCCCAGATCAAAAAGCAGGAAATTACCACCCCTTAAGCTCTCATCTTGCTTGCTTTCAGAACTATCCACCACTGCTTCTCAGCGCCCTGACAAGGGTAATCACAATCTCCATGTTATCTCCATGACACTGGATAACCATTTTATTCATTTCCCAAGATCGAATCTGTCTTCCAATGAACACTTCCAGATTTTAAAATGTTTACATTTGTGCTGACAATTAAATGTTATTTCTCATTGAATAGATCCTAAGTGGTACCCTTCCCGAATTGGTCTGCAGCTAGAATGTGGTAAGAACTAATTTTCACATCTATTTATCTAATTTGGAATCCTTTTTCTGTCATCAAAGGCTAATATTTACCATGTATTAAATGGCAAGCACTGTAGTAAATGCCATAAATATATTATCGTATGTGATCCTTCCAACAAATCAGTGTTCCACTTTTATGGATAAAGAATTTTAGTCTCAAAGAGATAATTTTTGCCATTCACTATCAGCGCATATTGGAGGCAGGTTCTGAACTAGCATTGTTTTGCCTCTAAAGCCTTCACTGAGCTGTTTCCTCACGCTCTGCCTTCTAATATATCCTCAGGAATCCAGGTTAGCTCTTTCCTTTTTATCCTTTCAGTTTCTGCAATGATAAAGCAGGATCAGCGAGGTGAGCAGGAGCAGAAACAAATGAATCACAGGGAGAATTATTATTACCATTATGAAACCTTAAGTTTCAATTTCTATTCTCCATTCAGAAAATTTATTGAAAAGATACATTTAAAAATTAGTCCTCCTAAGAATCATTGTTATTGACACTGGATCAAGTTGACCCTGAAATTGGAATTGTTAAATGAAAGTTGTGGGTAGAATGTAAATTTCAGAAGACTACATAGTCAAACTCAATAATAGTAACAATAGGCATCTAATAAGAAATTTCAGTCTCTAAATTTCTCCATACAGTGGTGCACTTTTTTTTTTCTGTTGCTTTAAAAATATTCTGACTATCATTTTTCAGATAACACATTCACATATGAACAAATAATGATTTTTCTTGTATCTCTCTAAGGTCTTGTAGTTGTTCCCATTGTTATCTTAAACATTCTGTCTTTGTCTGAGACCTCTGTGTTGAAAACATAAAAATTCATGGCATTCTTAGAGTCACATTTTATTGGTGGTCTCGAATTCCTCCAAGTTCAAATGCTCAAGATGAATTTTCATTTGGCTAGAGTTTAAAAGAGACAAAGCATTATCTTGTTTATTTTAGTCTCTGCAGGGCCTAGTATGTTCCAGGCACATAAATGCCTTTCAACACATGGATTATGAAATAACATAAAATGAAATAGTGGTGTTGTTTATGAACTTGACTCATAAAAAGACTCGGAGAATGTCACAGACATCAATGTCAAATGTAATTTTAATTTGAAGGTCACTATAAGGGATTGGGGGATTTCTGTTAGTTCAGCCTTTCCAGTAAATGTGAATTTTTACTTTCCCCTCCCATTTATTTACTTTGTTGAGTATACCAATGTGTGATTTGAATGAAATACAGTCAAGTGTCCTTGGATAGAAATGTGCTGACATATTTTTGTTTTAGAAATCAATTAACTTAGTGAGGTAAGCATACCATGGTGCAAAGTGTTTATTTGGGATAACTCCAAATTTTAATCCAGACTCTCTATTTACCTAACTATAGGGTCTTCTTTTGTAAATTGGAACTAATTAAAGAACCTAACTTTTTTTTTTTTAAGATTATGTTTACAAAACACTGTAATAATTTGTGCATGTTAGATACTTTAACAATCATAGTTACAACTATAAACATAGTTAACATATTATGAAAAAAAAGACAACAAAAAATTATTTCAGGCCTGAATATTTACATACATTTATCGCCAGAATATATTTGCCAAAATGATTGTACTACAAACAATGACACTATGTGAATTTAGTCTTTTACATTTTCTTCACAAAAAAGTCTTCACTAAAACATAAAATCACAAACATTGATTTTTTTTTATGAGAAAACACAATAGACATTTATTGGGGTCAGTGGTGCTGCGGAGCTTGGCTGGACAGAGTTGGCCTTACTTGGCTAGTCTTACTCATGCAGCTGTAATCAGTTGGTGAATTGTTGGGGAAGGACTGTCATAGTCACAACTGCAACCCCTCCTCTGTTCTATGTGGTCTCTCATGCTTCAGAAGAACATTATGAGCTTATTCTCATGGTGGAAGTAGGGAGATAAACACATGAGCACAAGCACTCAAGAATTCCTGAGGCCCAGGTTTGCCACTGACATCTGATCCCTTGCCCTGCATTCTGTTTGTGAAAGCAACTCACTTGGCTAGCCCATATTCAAGGCACGAGGAAAAAGATACCAATTCTTATTAGGAGAAACTAAAAGTCATATTGTAAGTGGTGTGGATATGAAAATTGTGAAGAATGGCAGCTGTGGTTACAATAAATCTGTCATATAAACAGTCAACTCAGCCCTGGCCAGTTTGGCTCAGCGGTTGGAGCGTCGGCCTGCGGTCCTGAGAGACCCGGGTTCGGTTTCCGCTAAGGGCACGTACCCGGCCCTGGTTGGTCATGCAGATGGCAGCCACTCGATGTGTACCTTTCACGTCGATGTTTCTCTCTCTCTCCCTCCCACTCTACCTGAACAAAGAATGGAAAAATGTCCTCAGGTGAGGATAAAAAAAAATAAAAATAAAAATAAATAAACAGTCAACTCAGATGTGTTCTCTTTTCCCACCTGATTAATTATCAGGACTTCATAATGTGCTGGAAGGAGAGGGTTGAATTTCTGATTCTTCATCTACCCAACTGCCTACTTACAGCTCTCACTTCTATAGTAGAAAGGTGAAGCATGGGTGGAGTTGGCCCTTCTCTTTCTATCACTGCTCCAACCATCCACACCCTTTATACAACAGCCTTGACAAACCCTAGAGATATACCTTAGAGATAGGCCTTAGAGATATACACCTTAATATCTGGCCCATTCTTGAGAGGAAATACCCAAGGAAGATGTATTGTTTGAGTTAATTCATTCAGAAAACTCAAAGGCTTTAAATGGCTGAAGTATGACATAGGAAAAATGCCATGGCTCACATTAGACATGTTCTCTTGGCCCTCCATATTCTTCTCCCTTTGGAAAAGGACATAGGCATAGACAGGTGTCCATGATAACTGAGTCTAAGAGTGGTGTAATTAATTTTATGTCTGGATTCTGTCAGCTTGTTTTACTCGCAAATCAAAGCGATGGAACCACATTTTAAAACATAATGCCAGTGCTCTGTTCCTTGAAGCTAGCAAGGGCTATGGAAGAGTAGAAACTAATCACCTCCCCAAAGGTGTCAGTGGGTGCATGTTGAAAAGGTGTCCTTAGTCCACTTTCAAGTGGTAAAAAGCCATCAGAACTTTTTGGCCTTATTAATAGTTCATGCTGCTGTACATGATTGTCCCAGGATACCACTGACCGTTTGGATAGCAAAGTCTTTACCTTGATCCACGTTGCGTTAGTTCCTATTGTTCTGCAACAAATTACCACAAACTTATCATCTTAAAATAACACTCACTTAATAGCTTGAAGACCCAATGTGGCTGGATTCTCTGCTCATTAATCTTCACAATATATTTCTCTAGCTAATTTGAAATTCTGGAGTGCTAGAAAGTTCTGTCTTTGTTTCTGTTGTCTTCTTTTTAAACTGAATACACAAATTATCTCCTTAAGCCCCAAGGGTTTAACTTTTAATAATTTTCAAGTACTTATAGACACATCTACCCAACTGCCTACTTACAGCTCTCACTTAAATGTCTGATAGTTATCACACACTTATCATACCCTAACTGAAATCCCAATTTTCACCCACAAATCCTGTTCCTTCCTCAGTCTTCTTCATGTCAATTAATGGTGTTACAATGTACTAAGTTCTCAGGCCAAAGATCTAAGACCAGTTCTTATCTAACTGGATCCTCTCTTCTCAAGTTGAACCTACTCTATGTTCAACATATACTGTAAGTGATGATTGTTAACATTTCCCTCCACTGCCACTTTAATCCACACAAATATCATTCCCACACAAATATCATTCACCTCTTGATGGATTCTCAGTTCCTCCTAAATAATCTTGCTTCTTTTCTTCCCACTTTCAACACAGTATCCACAGTGGTCTTTCAAAAAGGTAAACCCTGCCTCTCCTCTGGTGCTTTAAAATAACCACTAAAATCATTTTACCCCAATTAATGTATCCTATAATAAAATCATTTAGAGAACAGTTGAATGTATATGTACTGATACCCCAAATTATATATTTTATTTTATTTTTTTATCCGCACCCAAGGACATTTTTTTGTTTTCTGTTCAGATAGAGTGGGAGGGAGAGAGTGGAAGAGAGGAGAGAGAAACATAGACATGAAAGGGACACATTGAGTGGTTGCCACCCGCACAACCCAACCAGGGCCCGGGACAAACTGCAACCTCGGTCCATGACCTTAGCGGGAACCGAATCCAGGTCTCTCTGGACCGTAGGCCAACGCTCTAACCGCTGAGCCAAACTGGCCAGGGCCCAAAATTATATTTTAAAAGTACCTTGTATCAAACTTGATTATGACATTATCCAATATTACATTTACTTAGAACACAACAGTATATTAGCTCTTGGTAGACTACTTTGTTTAGATAGCATTGGGAAACCACTGTGCATTTGAAAACTAACTAGATATATGTTATAAAAGGAGTATATTTAGATTTTATTTTACTTTAAATGTTTATTGTATATGTCACAATTTATATATACAATTTATTTTAGATTTGATTTGTTTCTCATTAGAATTTATTTATCATTATGCCTTGAAATTGTGTTAAAGTATTATTTCCTCATTACTTTAGGTGGGCCTTTTTTGAAGGACTACATAACCATTCAAAGTGTTGCAGCATCCTCCATCATCACACTCTATTTTACAGACCTAGGTCAGCAGGTCCGTTGGACAACAGTAAGTATTAATTTGAAATGCAATATATATGCCCACATTTTGATGTGAAATATTTGCTGATGTAAAATATTTCCATCAAGTGATTTATAGTGAAACAAAATACTATAACGAATGATATTTTAAACTGACCATTCTTTCTATGACCAGTTCTTAATATTCCATTCAAGAATTGGAGCAACGAAAAAGAGAACAGTTGAAAGAAGGAAGATAAGGCCAGCCATTGTAGTTCAGTGGCCTGAGTGTCCCCCCATGGACTGAGAGGTCCTGGTTCGATTCCCGGTCAGGGCACATGACGGGGTTGTGGGCTCCACTGTAGGAGTCAGCGTATTGGTGTTTCTCTCTCACATCAATGTTTCAATCTCTCTCTCCCTTCTTCTCTCTGTAAAGAATCAATTAAAAAATATATTTAAAATATTAAAGAAAGAATATAAATATCTATATGTCAATCTATCGAATGACTGATGACCTCATTTCTGTTCCCCCTGTGCCTTCTCAGTTTAAATGGTGTTCCTTCAGCTTTCCTTCTAGGAGTCTGGTGATAATGAAGATTCTGTTGACATTGGAAAGAAGGAAGGTCAAATATTCAATAGAAATGTTCTAACAGAGGGAGAGTATTTTGGAAACTCAGAGTAAAGTAGTTTGGCCTGGGAGGAGGGTGTGCTTTGGTTCGTTCTCCTTGGAGGAGTAGTTTTCCAAGTGGTGGTGATTGAATCCAATGGCATTGAAAGAATGAAGACTACATTAACCGACTTGGAAGAACAAGAAACGGAAAATACTTGACACCAGTTCACAAGTATTGAGTTATTCATGAGTAATGGAATACATTCAGTAGCAAGAAGAAATGCTATCTGATATTTAGTAACAGAGGTAATAAAATTTTTAATCCAGTAAATAATTTTGACCTGATATACAAAGAATACTGCAATCTATCTATTTTCAGTTAAATAAAACTTATTTATATTGTTTAAACTTTTAAAGCTTTCTTTCGGATTGCATTCTATTACATGTCTTTGATGTGATTACACTTTTAATATTTTCTATTCAAAATGACTTTCCTTTTTGTCAGCATTATCGATCAGCTGTGTCATTTGAATAAGCACTGAGGAGAAAAGGTGCTAAGGTGGAATTCCATGACAACTGTGCTAGAAAATTAGAGCTTATTTGAGAGGAAAGTAATTTAGGTGACAACCACAACTCTGGAAATAAGCTAGATATTTTTACGCAATCCATGGTTCACATAGCCTTTCTTCCAAATGAGTCAGGCCAATGAAGTGTAAAAACACACACACTCCATTGCTATCACACCCACTTTGTATCAACTAAGTTGTACAATATGAGCAATGTTTTATCACACATAATATTCTTGTACATTTATAAAATATTAACATGCACTCCTAGAATAAAAACATTATCATAATGGGGGTTTTTAAGACACAATCTCTTTAATTTAGCAAGATCAAAATTGGCATTTAATATTTTTTATCAAGAAAGAGTGTGTTCTCATAGAATTATTGAGAAAATTGAACTTATTGAAAGACTTAGGAGAATGGTCTAACATAATAATATAACAATTCTCACTATATAAATGCAAATAACTAGACTAGACTACAGATCTTACTGTTTTTATTATTGCATATTCCTTCATGTGTGCACATATCACTCTGCCATTTTTCTGTTGCATACATTCATCTATCTACCACCGAAGCCAGACGCAGAATTTTTCTATTCCCACGGAGGAACCCCTACACTACCCCTGTGTATTCACACACTCTCGTCCCTACCCTGGGGCAACCACCAATCTGAATCTCCATATTTTTGTCATGTGGTAAATGCTATATAAACAGATTCAAACAGTTTTATTGAGATTAATATTCATTTTTTTTATAAGCATAGTGCCTTTAGGATCCTAGTTGTGTCCAGTATCAATGTTCCACTCTTTTTTATTGCGTAGCATTCAGTTGTATGGATGTAGCAGAGTTTGCTTAACTGTTCACACATTGACAGACATTTGGGTGGTTTTCAGTATTTTCCTATTACAAATATAGCTATTATTGCCCTGGCCTGTTTGGCTCAGTGGTTGGAGAGTCGGCCTGTGGACCAGGGAGTCCTGGTTTTGGTTCCTGCTAGGGGCAGGAACCCACCCCTAAAAATATACATTGATATATATATATATCAATGTATAGGTATTTGTAGGAACATAACATAAATTTTTATTATCTGGGACACACTGTTGAGTTTTAAGAGTAACTTTTATATTTTAGATATACATGTTTTATCTGATATATGGTTTATGAATGTTTTCTCTGAGTTTTTATCTTGTCTTTATATCATGTTAACAAAATGTTGCTGTGCAAAATGTTTTCAACTTCAGTGCAGTCTAATTTTTTAATATTGTTTTCTTAAGGATCTTGCCTTTCCTGTCATATATAAGAACACTGCCTAGCATTGGACCTGGAAGTTTTGTTTCTATGTTTTCTTCCAGTAGTTTAATAGCTTTATATTTTAGTTTTTATCATTATTATTATTGTAAAGGATTATCTGTTTTTTATTTTTAAACTTAGTATTTTCTTTCAATTTGCCTCATGTGTTTTATAATCTATTTTCTGTTTGTTTTTCTTGCCCAATTTTGGATTAATTATCATTCTTTTCTATTAGCCTCCCTATTATTTTGGGAGTTATAGCTTCTTTTAAAAAAAATGTTTTATTGATTTTTAGAGTGAGTGGGACGGGGAGAGAGAGAGAGAATCATCCATGTGAGATACAAATATCAATCAGCTACCTCCTGCACACCCCCTACTAGGGACGGAGCCTACAACCCAGGCATATGCCTTGACCAGGAATTGAACCGAGACTTCTCAGTCCGTGGGAGGATACTCAATCCACTGAGCCACACCAGCCGGGGTATAGCTTCTTTTTTTAGTAACTTTGGTGATTACCCAAGACATTACAATATGCAGCTTAAAAAATTAAATATTAATATAATTTGCTTAATTTAAGTTTACTAATGTGAAGATACTTTATAGATAGTTTAATGTTTTTTACATACTTGAATTCCTCCTGACTCACTTTCTATTGTTTATTTTGTCTGTCTATATTACTTACAGCAATATTATATGGTCAATGTTTATCTAGATTTATCCTTTTTATGGCAATTTAGTTCTTCTTTTTAATGGTGAGCTTACAGCTAAGAAAATTATTCTCCTTTCTGAATAATATCTTTAGTGTTTATTGTGGTTCTGTCATTAATGAAGTCTCTTAATTCTTGTTTATATTAAAATGTATGCATTTAACTTTTATTCTTGGAAGATATCTTTTGCAGAAAAATAATCCCATGTTGGCAGCAATGTTCACCTTTAATTCACACAATTTTAGCATTTTGTTTTTGACACCCATTGTTTCTGTTAAAAAGTCTACTATACACTTTTGAAATTAATGTGTCTGACCTACTTTACAAATTATTTTTTGTTGTTGTCTTGGTTATAGTAGTTTGACTATGGTGTTCACAGTTATGTTTATGTTTCTATTTATCCGCCCTTGAGTTTATAGTATAATCCTGAGTCTATGATTTTGATATATATTTAATCTGAAAAATTAGTTAGGATACTGTTTTTACCTTTTATTTTTTTATCCTCACACGAAGATATTCTTCTATTTTTCTTCAGATAGAGTGGGAGGGAGAGAGAGAGAGAGAAACATCTATGTGGGAGAGACACATTGACTGGTTGCCTCTTGAAAGACCTTGACCATGGCCTGGGACGAACCACAACCAAGGTACCTGCACTTGACTGGAATCAAACTCGTGACCCACTGGTCCACAGGCTCTAATCACTGAGCCAAACCAGCCAGGGCTCTTTTTACCTTTTGATTCCTTATTATTCTCTTTGTAGTCTTCTTCTGGGATTCTATTATATTTCCATATTTCTTGTTTCATAGTTTTCAAATAATTGCTAAAACTTTCAACCTTGTTTTTACTTTCTTTAAACATAAAAAAGACCGTTTTAAGGTATGTCTCTGATAATTCTGTTAGGTGACTCTTCAGTTCATATATTTTAAATATCTGCTGTTTCTCTTGGTTTTGGTCATAATGTCTACTCTCCTTATATATCTGCATATTTCAGCATTACTGTAGGAAAATTTGTGGAAAATTTTTAAAGTAATGTGAGGCTCAGAATAATGTTATCTTCTTTCAAAGGTAATACATCATCCTACAGATGGACTAATAGCACTACTGAGTCCAGGTCATTTTAACACAGTCAATGATTCAGGCTCAGCTTCACTACCTGTAAAGACAGATCTATTTCTGCTTTATCTTTATTCCTAAACTATAACTCTTCTATGTCCTAACTCAAATTCTGCAGATTATATCAGGCAACTTCTACCTTTGGAAAATAATAAGAAACAATTTTTATTCCTTGCATTCTCAGGCACCCTCAAAAGATTTGGTGTTCTTATCAGGCTTGGGCTCTTTTTTTAATATGTTTTTATTGATTCTTTAAGGAGATAGAAATAGAAACATTGATGTGAGAAACATCAATCGGCTGCCTCCTGCAAGCCCCCTACTGGGGATCGAACCCGCAACCCAGGCATGTGCCTGACTGGGAATCAAACCGGGACCTCTCAGTCCATGGGGCAATGCTCAATCCACTGGGCCACACTGCCTGGCCCTCAGGCTCATATTGGGCTTCATTTCCCAGGTCAATCACTACTCTAAAGCTCTGTTTAAAAAAATCTTAACTTTCTAATTTTTCAGTGACTTAGAACCTCTTTGAAGCCTAAAAAATATTTTTCTCAGTTTTTCTCACTGATCTCACTAGGAGGGTTTGTTTAAATAACTTGGAATAAAATTCTCCATTATATGTTACTTAAATTAAACAAACAACAACAACAAAAACCCTTTCTTCTACTGTCACCGTGCTTCAACAGTACTCACTGAGTACAAAATGATAGTACTACAGGGAAATGCTCTCATAATTTTAGTTAGTAGCTCTCCTATCTTTATAAGATTAAATATAGCACTAATTGATTTTGTCAGTAATTTTTAACAACTATAAAAATGTGCAATTCATTTTGTTCTCCTTTCTTAATTGCAATTTTGGAAAATAATTAAAAAGTTATTTTTTCAAGAGAGAACAAAATGCATTAAGCACAGTCTAAACACAAGAGTTCTATTCAAACACACTTGCAGTCGCGTGTTTTGATTTTTTATTTTCTAAAACATCTTATTGCCTACTTCTTTTTTTCAATTTAGACATATAGCAACTTGAATATTCCACAGAAGTTCCAAAGAATCACAATTTCCTAGTTTGCCTAGTAGAAGGAGTGAATTTTATGTTTAAAGCAAGATTAGTTTAATACAAAGAAACATTTTATAAAATGGATATATGAAAGTAATTTGATATTGGAAATAAATTGGAATGTACAAGTAATAAAGATATTCAAAGTAAAAAGCAAGTGTATCTGCTTATTTTGATTATAGAAACTCTACTAAATTTTTAGATTATAATGGAGATCCTAGTCCTTATAAATTTGTCTGATTTGCTTGGGCTTTTACCTGGCATATTTGCTTGTTATTTTGGTTTTGGTTTTAGTTTTTCTTTTTTTTAGACAAAAAACAATTCTTTTTCAGAAGGCTGTCATTAATATTTGTCTGTCTTGCCTTCTTTTTATTTATTCTGAAAATATTTTCTGCTTACATTTCATGTTTATTACAACACCTCTCCTTTCTTCTACATGCACCCAGATAGACTTTCTTTGAAAGATGCATTGTCTAAAAGTTATTTCTTATCATTTCCAAATTATTTCAGGTCAGGATCTATTCTTTGTTTTTGAGTATTGTTTTAACCCCACGTTTCAGCATGAACAATATTTTTGATAGAACATTAGTCCTCCTAGAACATATTATTATAAGCTAGCAGTCTCTCTCAATTTATTTTTTTTTGAGATGATGGAGAGTAGATTGTAATTTAATTTCCTCTGATCCAAAGAAACTTCATATTTGTGATGGCATTTTCATTAACTTAATAAAGAGTGACATTTGGTCCAGGTTGACTGTTGTTCACAACATTTCATGTCTGACACAGTAACAGAGAATTTACTCAAATTTGACTTGACTAGATCAGATAGTGTTGAAATATTTTAAACATTTTGTTGTAAAAAACAATCATTATTTTCTCATTCTATAGTATTAACTAGACTCTATCAGAAGACATTCAAAAGTGGTAAACATTTTTATTCCTATCTGCATAATCAGGCTTGTTGTATGCCATAAATTAATACTATCTTTCAATAGAAAGTTTGCTTTTATACTGAAGGTATCAGATGTTGCATTATTTTAAATTTTTTATTTATTTATTTTAGAGAGAGAGAAACATCAATTTGTTATTCCACTTATTTATGCATTCTGATTAATACTTGTATGTGCTCTGACCATGGATCAAACCCACACCTTGGTGTATCAGGACGATGCTCTAACCAACTGAGCTACCTTGCCAGGGCCCCCAGATGTTGCATTGTTTTTACCTTCATGTACAAATCTTCCTTGGCTTATGAGATGATAAATATTGTTAAAAGGAAGAATTATAACTGAATAAACCAACATATTTCACTATTTATGTGTGTGTGTATATATATAACCTACATATATATCACATATTCTAACCATATACCTATACAAAATTTTCACCACAGATCAAAAATATAATTTGTAATTAATGTTCACAGCTGCATTATTCAAAAAAAAAACCATGCAAATTTTCTTCCTTGGAAAATAATGAAAATTGTCAAAGACAACATAGTAATGGCAGTCAAATCTATTATTGCCATGTATGTATCCTTTCTCCTCTTCATGAATGCAGAGAGCTAAATTACTCTCCTTTCTCTGTCTAAACATTCCAGAGAGTAATTGTAACCTGGTTTTAGCGCCAAAAACAATCCAAATAATGGGCAGTTACTGAATTCAAAACCTATCAAAAGCCAGTCAGCTGAATAATCTTTTGCAGTAACATGGTCTTATTTCCAATAATTTTTCCAAATCTTCTGATTGTCTCTGTGGATGAGATATTTCTCTCCACTTATGTGTTTGCACCTCAGCTCCAAAAATCAGAGGGCAACCTTTTCAATCACCCACTAAAATTCATTAGAATTAAAGTCTAAATCTTTCAAGAGAGAGAACTGAGTTATTTCCATTTGAATCAGAGTCAAATAACAATAATAAATAAATAAATAAATAAAAAGGCACAGAAGCCCATACCATCCAGTGACAGGGACAGTTCCCATAGAAGGTAAAGTAGGTATGAGGCTGGGAGACATGAAGAAAATATTTATAATAGTTTGGTTATTTAAATAAAAACACCTTGTACTATTTATGAAGAAATCATTATATTAGGTTTAATATATACTTTATTTAAAGTTGTTTTTTCTTTATTTATTTTAGAGAGAAACGGAAAGATAGAAACATTGATGAGAAAGGACATAGACTGGCCACCTCCTCCACACCCCCCACGGGGGATCGGGCCCATACCTGGGCATATCCCTGACCAGGAATCGAACCAGCAACCTCCTGGTGCATGGGTTGACGATCAACCACTGAGCCACTCTGGCAGGGTCTAATATACACTTTATTTTAAATGGACTATATTTGTACTCTTTATTGCTTGACTAGTCCTTCCAAGGAAGACTTCTTGTTATCTGTGTCAATGCCCAGTCTAATTCTTTAAAAAAAACATGCTCACCTGTCCATTTCACCAGTTCACGCGGAAGGCTGTCTATAGACATGCCTCTGGTCATAAGTAAATCTTAATAAAGTCTATAAAAATTTATTGTTTGATCTAAATTCTCTTCTTATTTTCAGGTATAATAAGTAACTTTAACAACATCTAAAACTGTATTCTTTAATCTAAATCACCTTCTTATTTTCAGATATTTTTGGCTGAATACACAGGACCTCTGTTAATATATCTCCTCTTTTATTTGAGGATCCCATATATATATGACAAAGAAGAGAGCTCCAGAAGGCCACGCCACCCAGTGGTACAGTGAGTAATACAGACAGCACATATGAATGAAGGAGTTGAACTAGCATGCAGATATTATGTTAGTAAAGGTTGCTTGTACAACCAATGAAAGTGCACTCCATTTTAGGGAAATACATTTTAGATTATCATGAATAATGTATACACACCAACTTGCAAATGTATAAACTAGGAACTATTAAGTATACTTTAAAAGAGAGATAATTTAAGTTATTAATAATTATAATTAGCAAGAGAAATCTGGAAATTTAGAAATATCAAAGAAGCTTTAAAGTATAAAATTAAGAGGTTTCATATAAATCTTAAAATATAAATATTTCTCTAAAAATATGGGCAACATGAAAACATGGAACAGACTGACGAATCTCAGAGGGAAGTGTGGGGGAAAGATTAACCAAACAAGTTGTGTGCATATGTGCATAGCCCCTGGACACCGACAATGGAGCCATGAAGGCCTGCTGAGAGGGCAGGAGCGGGGCAGAGGAGGTCAGTGTGGGTAAAACGGGGAACGTGCAGACTATGCAAACCGGAAAAATAAATAAATAACGACATACATAAATATATGGGCAACAGTGCATTAGAAAAGAAATAATGACCTAAGTAAAAAAACAGGGGAAAAATTTTTTTAAGTTTTCTTTAGTAAGTCAGAAAAAAATAAAAAGACTAAGTTGTAAAAGCAGAATAAGCAGAATATATAACTATAGTAGTTAGCCTATTGTGGAAATATCACAATCCCTCACTCTCGTTCTTTCTCTCTCTCACACACACACCATACCAAATTAAAGAAAAACTATTGTTCAAGATACCACACTTAGATGTAGGAATGTGGGATTAGCAACTTAAAAACAAAACCTGATTAAATGAAAACATTCCAAGTGAGTTAAGAAGCAGAATTTAGGTCTTAGGGATACTAAAAGACAGAGAATGATTAAACTGCTGACTTTGTCATAAAAAAAAATCAAGCTTTTTCTTGCCCTTAATATCTGTCCTTCAGCCACACTGACCTTCCTTCCTACCCTCTCACACGGGGCGTGTACACAGGGCATGGACACATGCTACCCCCATTCCTCCATCCTCATTACCTCCCTCTTCCTGATCTCCTTTTCAAACTTCAAGTAGAAGCTCACTCTCTTACTCAGGGAGACACTGCCATTCCTTCCATGACAAACATGCTACTAAATTGTTTTTCCCTTATACAATTTTTACTTTAAAATTATATATTCACAATCATTTGTATTTCCCTCTGTAGAGTTGAAGTTTTAGAATGCATATATTTTGATGTTCTGTCTATCTTCATTGCTTAACACATTGCCTACTTTACAGGGAATTCACAATAAAATGTTTTTAATGGTAAGGTAGATGAATGAATTGCATACATTTTTATTTTACACTGGGCACTTTTTGAATATACAAAAGAATAACCTGACCTTGAGGGGAGTTCTGAGATAGTTTTTCTTTTTTTTTTTTTTTTTTTTAATCCTCACCTGAGGGTATTTTTCCATTTTTTGTACAGATAGAATGGGAGGGAGAGAGGGGAAGGGAGAGAGAGAGAGAAACATCGACGCGAAGGGACACATCGAGTGGCTGCCACCCGCACGACCCAACCAGGGCCGGGGACAAACTGCAACCGAAGTATATGCCCTTAGCGGGAACCGAACCCGGGTCTCTCCGGACCGCAGGCCGACACTCTAACCGCTGAGCCAAACTGGCCAGGGCCTGAGATAGTTTTTCTAAGAAAGTTGCATTTGAACTAATTTCTTTGTTTTCTGGAAGGATGAGTTTGATTTTTAACTAGTAAATTTGTAGGCTCTTCATATGGAAACTTTCTGTGGTACAAAGTCGTTGGTGCTCTGTAGGAGCATAAAGAAAGCTAGTAGGGCAGAGACACAGAGGCCAAGGGAGATGGGTGCTCAGGGATGATGGTCAGGTCAGTATGGAACAGGGCCTTTGGACAATAGCATCTGTCTTTCTTTTTCTTAAGTGAAGAGAATGCCCATTTTATTTAGAAAGATAATGGGGTAAAGAGTTTATAAGGATAATGCACTTGCACTCAGTTTTTTGACCAAAGATGTAACACGTACCAGATTTATAGCACAGCATGAAAAAAGAACACCCGCCCCCCACCATGGCAGTCTCCAAGGATCTGACGGACAATTGGTTGCTATTCTTAAACAGACACAGATTTTATGACCTCTCAGTGATAAATGTTTTTGTGCAACATAGTTCCAAAATAGCAAGTATGTTGAGTTTATATGAAATCATTCCAGAGCAGATACATGCCAACACACAAACTATTTCTGAAATTTAAATGTCTATTAGAGCACTATAAAATAATCACAACGCTTCTAAGCAACTTAATTTCAGGACAGATGATGCCATTTCTCATGGTTAAAAAGATAAAATTCCAACCTGACCAGGTTCGCTCAGTGGTTAGAACAAAGGCCTGAGGACCAAAGGGTCGTAGGTTCAATTCTGATCAATGGTGTGTACTGGGGTTACAGGTTCAATCCCACGCCCTAGTTGGGGTCATGTGGGTGGCAACCAATGTTTTTTTTCCCTCCCACCCTCCCTCCTCTCTCTTCCACTCTGTCTAAAAAAATCAATGAAAAAATGTCCTTGGATGAGGATTAACAAAAAAAGATCAAATTTCAAATGCTATATCTACTGGCCACACACTTCAAAGTTAAAAATGTCAAAGTGCTTTGAATCAAATCACAGAGTCAAAGGCATTTTTCAGGTAGGTTTAGATCTATATGTGACTTGACAGCCACAAAATTCTTTGAATCTTTTAGAAGCCTCTACATACTGAGGCTAAGGCCATATCTCTTGCAGGATCTCCCTCTCCATCTGCAGTGAAAGGTGGTGCACAGCTTGGGGTAACCGTTATTCTTCATTCAAACAATGATGTTCGAGATAGAGGCTACATATTCAAAATTATCACGGTCTCTCTCCCCAGAGGGATCCAGTGAACTAGCTGCACTGTGGCTAAGACCACACCTCCTTACGGCATCATCAGGGATGGAGAAGTAGCCAGAGAAATCTCAGCACTCAGTAGTCATAGTTCAATTATCTGCCTTAAATGCAAGAGGCTACATTATCCCACCTCCCACCATTAACACATTTTTAGGTCATCCCTGATCTCTCACACTCCATCTCAATAAACTTTACTGTCCTCTATTTATTGCCTTCCCCAACTCCAGGAATCCTTCCACTATTTCTCTATAATTCAAAGTTCATTATCAGCAAAGTCTGTTGTATCTTCAACCTTTGTCTGAATATTGCTTTCATGTTCTTCCTCAACAGACACCTGATACACGGCCTCCCGAGCGGCTCTGTTGAGACTGTGTCTTTTTTCACAGCCCTAATATCTTGAATTGATCAAATTAAGAATAATATATTTTCAAATATTATGATTGGGAAGATGTGTTGAACCTAAGCCTATTTATTGGTGTTCAGTTAATGAAGCGCAGGACAGAGAAAGAGTTGATATTTAAAGGAAAATCAATCAAAATTGTATAAAATGGAAACATTTTGAAATAAAATCAAACTTAGTGAGTTACCCAATAATGTGCAAAGTGGCATAGATTTAAATATAAAGATATAAAAGTATATACTATTTTGGTCTCTATGCTCACATGCTATAGAATAAAATAAGTAAGTGACTTAATTGAGAAGTATCGTAGCTTGAACCAAAATTTCTTATTTCGGGCTCTGCTACAATGCTGGGCATAATTTAATTTTTCTGCTGTCTTACAAAGTAAAATATTTGGCTACTCAAGTATTTATATAAATACTTACACAAAAGAACCAACATGTCAGAAGAGATACCGACTTCCTTATCAGTCTTTTGAACCCTTAACGCAACCTCTTATATCAGGACTTTTGTCTCTGTCTTACTGTCTAGAAGACTCTCCCCCAGAGATTCACACTGCCTGTTCTCTCACATAATTCAGAAGTAGTCCATTGTTTATAGATATACACACCATATATAAAATGTCTCTCCCATAATAGGTTCACAATTATATATTCATGAATTAGTGAATAATAATAAATTCCCTGATGACTGAGACAGGTAGTTTTGTGTTTGTTTGTTTTCCCTAAAGTCATTATTATTCACGCAAGAAATAATTAATTAATTTATGTAAAAATAATCCCCCAGTGGAAACTCAATGTTTTATTTTATATGGAGTGATTGGCATGGTGATTTTTATACTCAGCCTTTACTAGTTCCAGTATGCTATATATATATATATATATATATATATATATATATTTTTTTTTTAATCCTCACCCAAAGATATTTTTTCCATTTTTGTTCAGATAGAGTGGAAAGAGAGAGAGGGAGAGAGGGAGAGAAACATTGATGTGATAGAGACACATTGACTGGTTGCCTCCCACAGGACCTGACCAGGGCCGTGGACAAACTGCAACCAAGGTACGTGCCCTTGACCGGAATCGAACCTGTGACTCATTGGTCTGCGGGCTGAAGCTCTAACCGCTGAACCAAACTGGCCAATGCCCAGTATGCAATCTTTGATCCATATTGATTTCCTTGAATTTTAGCCAAAGTTTCTGAAATTTTAAATTTTATTTATAACAAAAAAGGTACATATGCTAATGGAAATATTTTTAAGTATAAAAAGAAAATACCCTGTAAATCGAATTTGACATTTACTTTTAAAACAGTAGTTATATAAATGACAAGAAGGAGTTCTAACTTAAAACAATAGCAACAAAACCCAGCACACAGATAAACAAAATACTGCAATATGTTTGACTGGCGAAAAAACAAACAACAACAACAAAAAAACAAACTAAACAAAACACAAGTTGCATTGACTTCATAGAAAATGAAATTCAAACTTTTAATTATGGTACCTGCTAAAGGACAACCAGACAATGAAAAAGTTATTTGAATATTATAAAATGTCAAATGCATTCTAAGTAGGTTTTGGATATTTTTAAAACTTGTAAATTATCTGCTTCAATTTAGAGTCCTTTTGATATGAGCACATTTGCAATTATTATATTCATATATATTCCTGGAGCAGGTGTGAGCATATAGTGTATGATGAGTATATAATATATTCATAGCATCATCAGAAGTAAATTTATGGAGTGTTGTAACAGTACTTTCATTATTAAACAAATTTTTTAAAATTTCTAGAATAAAAGTATTAAAACAGACACCTGTGTTGTAATTACTGGAGATAATATTTCCTAATATAGAATATCATAGTGAACTAAAAGAGAGATACGTAAGTTGAGCCAGATTTTTGGAAGGGAATTTAATGTGTTCATATTTTATTTTCTTTCTAGCTTGGCCTGTTTCTGTCATTGTATACACTATATCCGATATCTTTTGGAAACCTTATTTGTTCACAAAGTTTCTGCAGGGCATACACCTTTGAAAAACTTGATAAAGGTGAGGATTAATATGTTTTTTCAATTTTAATTATTATTGAGATATTTTGTGTATCAAATAATCTGCACAACAATTCAATCATGTTTCTTTTCCTCACGCCTAGTGTTTTTTCTATTCCATTTATCAGCATATCTTAAACATTCTGTTCTGAAATGCCATTTCCTGGAGCTGCCTTCAACTAGTAACAGAACATAAAAACCTTTTATTTTGGAAATACTTAGCATTGAATTCAGATTCTTTGAAGAGAATCTCATATATAAACACTCCTATAAATATATATTTGTGTGATTAAAGTAATGGTACTACACCCATTTTTATGATATTATGATATTTTTCTTTTCAAATAAGTGATAAATGCAAAAGTTACTTAACCATTAAATAACTATCAAGAAAATAGGAAATTTTCTGAAACACTGAAGTAGAAATGTGCATTAGATAACATGCCACAATTCAAATTAAAATTTGTTTTGTTATTTTCCAATTTATAATATATTCAATGGTCGTTACTAAAATCTTCTTCTTCTTTTTTTTCTCAAATATCTGTTTTCTGAAAATCTGAACAAGGCAGCTGCTGTCACTGTAAAGAAACACAGAATTCTAGAATTCTTAGAAACCTCAGAAATCATTGAAACTAGCTTCTCTTTTGACAGAAGGTATTAAAATTTATTATACAGGGCAAGATCAGTATTACAACCTAGGACTTCTAAAATTAGCTCATTGCCCTCTCGAATCAATCAATATGCATTACTACTAATGGTTAAAAAATTCATTCTTTTATTCATTTGCTGTTGGGAAGTGATTATCAATACATCTTATCTAATAAATATTTTATTATTTTTATTACTTCATTCATATTTCTTACTGGAGAGACAAAACCATTCTTGCAAAATATACTGTCACATTTACCGCATATCATGAATACCCATTTATATTAATAAGAGTTGAGCAAAGAAATGCATTACTTGACTGATATTAAATAGGTACTTTTAAAATGCTAATTTACTGGGCGAAGAAGCATTCCATTTATCTAACTTAGAAAATGTGTACCATTATTCATGTAAATCTATGCAGTGTGGCATAAAAATGTATAGAATGGTTTAAAATGATGGAATATGTATTATGTATATGACCTAACTTTTATTTTGTGCTATTTGTAGGGCTGTGCCTTTTATTGGGGTTTCACTTCTTGGATTGCCTACTACATTAATCATCCATGGTATACACCACCATGTATGTAGAATTTCTCCTTAATTAATCCCATACTAAATTGCATGTATACACACTCACGTGAAACTGAAAGAAGTGGAACTGTTAATACAGATGGTGAACTCATAAGATAATTAATATCTTTTATTACTTTTGTATACTCCAACTTTGCTACCATGATCAAGATGACATTAGGACATGGCATTACATTGCATTTTAAATCTTTTTAGATTGCAAAATTATCATCCCAAAGGTTAATTACATTACACATAGTACTTCGGTTAGAGGATAGTGATATCTAGTGAACTTTGCCTGAATTATGTGTATAATGTGACAATCCAAAATATAATCATTTGCATGACATCTTTTCCTTCTTCCTAGCATTTGGGAACAGGCAAGTCACAGTATCTGCAATCAATTTTCTGGTATGTATTATTTATATTATTTGCTTATCATGCTCTAATTGTGGTATTATTAAAAATGCAAAACATTATATTTGCGTATTTGACATGTAGATAATATTATCTATGTTTATACAATATACATAATGGTATTAAATGAAGTAAATCAAATAACTTCCCATTATCAAGTCATTAGTTCTCAAAGTCTTTTAATCAAAATATTCCATCTGTCTATGAAGGATGATTAGAATTATTTTACCTATAGTAAAATTTGAAAAATTATACTCAGTAATTCTTCTATTGTCTGCAAATTTACAAACTTATAAACCTCTAAGAGCAAAAGTTTTACAAGTCTAACATGAACATTCAAAAACCATTTAGGCATAATTGTTAATTAATTCTAGGTGAAAACATAGTCTGAATTTTTTAACGAAATGTGGATCTTTCCTAATTGTTTTCAGTTTAGCTCTTTAGATCATTCGATTTAACTTCAAATGTCATTGTTTGAATTGGGTACAAATCAATCTGAGTACAGCGTATTCCTTATTATTTCTGAAAAGTATTAATTATGTATTAGACATAAGCAAGGGGGGCAAAAATCGGTTTTACAGTGGTTTGTATGGAAAATAATGCAGAAATTAGTATTGCATTCACAATTGTAAACCTACTTTTGCCCCACCCTGTATTTAGCCTCATACACCATATAATATCATGCTTCTATTTTTTTGTTCATCTTCTTCTCTCATTCCTGTCCTTGATAGATTAAGCTCCATGATCTCAACCCTGACATATTGATACCCTCCCATGATTTGAATACAAGTCCATTAACTTTGTGGTTTGTACTGAACAACTTGTATTCCTACTTTCCTTACAAGGCACCAATCACACACCACACTTGGTAAAAAGCTCTCTTATAAACCTTTCTATATGCATAAATATATATTTTAATTAACAGTTTAGTTAATGACATCCTCCTCTGTGCTGGCTATGAGAGAGTCAAGTCATGCTTTATTTTTTTTTTAGCATCTACTTTTGTACATAGGAACTCACTGCTTACTTGAATGAATGACAAAAGTCATTTCTTTACTTAAAAATTCTGTAAGCAGCCCTGGCCGGTTTGGCTCAGCGGTTAGAGCATCCGCCTGCGGTCCGGAGAGACCCGGGTTCGGTTCCCGCTAAGGGCATGTACCTTGGTTGCAGTTTGTCCCCAGCCCTGGTTGGGTCGTGTGGGTGGCAACCACTCGATGTGTCGCTTTCATGTCTATGTTTCTCTCTCTCTCTCTCTCTCTCTCTCTCTCTCTCTCTCTCTCTCACTCTATCTGAACAAAATATCGAAAAAAAAAAAAAATGTCCTCGGGTGAGGATAAAAAAAAAAAAAAAATTCTGTAAGCAGCCCTGGCCGGTTTGGCTCAGTGGTAAAAGCATTGGCCTGTGGTCCAGAGAGACCTGGGTTCAGTTCCCCCTAAGGGCATGTACATCGGTTGCAGTTTGTCCCTGGCCCTGGTTGGCAGCCACTCGATGTGTCCCTTTCACATCGATGTTTCTCTCTCTCTCTCTCTTCTTCTCTCTCCCTCCCACTCTATCTAAACAAAAAATGGAAAAATGTCCTAGAAGATAAAAAAAAAAAAAGAATTCTGTAAGCAAATATATTGTTAACTATACCATTGTGTTTTAATTTCCCATAAGTGGTATATCAGTCATAGACAGCATGCTTATGTTTTTTATTCTTTTAAGTTATTTTTTAAATATATTTTTAATTTTTTAATTACAGATGACATACAATATTATCTTAATTTCTGATATACAATATAGTGATTAGGCATTTATATAACTTACAAAGTGATCACCCTGATAAGTCTAGAACCCATCTGGCACCATATATAGTTATTACAATATTATTGACTAGATTCACTATGCTGTAATTTATATCACTGTGAGCATTCCCCCCCCCTTTTAAAATTTATTGGAGTGATACTGATTAACAAAATTATACAGGTTTCATATACATAACTCTACAACACATCATCTGTACACTGTATTGTGTGGTCACCACCCGAAAGCAAGTCTTCGTCCATCACCATTTTACTCCCCTCCATACCCTCCTTCACCTCCACCCACACCCCCGCTCCCAGCACTCATATGGAGGAATGCATTTTGATGCTTTCATTGCTAAGCAATGTGCACCAAGTCTAATGCTCTCTGTATAGTAACTACTTAGTAAATTTGAGCAAATGGAAGAATGGATTAATGGATAAATAAAATAATAACTGTATATTTGATCTTTATTTAGATGTGTTTTTATATTAACATCTGATCATTATCCTCTTCCTTCTCTGATCATTCTCCTGCTATGATTTCATTTACTATGTTTTTGAAATTTCTTTACTTCTATTTATTCCTGTGTAAATATTTACATAGCTCTCATTTTATGTGATATTCTTGATTTCTTTCCTTTCTCCAATGTAGTATGACTATGAATCCATGACTCTCGTATAAAAGAAAATATTTTTAAAGGAGTAGCTTTTAAAACATTATGTGTCATTATAGTTATAATATTTTTGTTAAGAAAAAGTAAGCACAGTAGGTCAGACAGGAAAAAGTCAAGAACCATATGATTTTACTCATGTAATCTAAAACTAAAAACAACAAATAAGACAAACAAAAACTTATAGACACAGACATTTTAAAAAATTGACCTCAAGTTATTAATGCTTCTTCTTCACACATGCCTTTATTAATCAATGATCTTTTATATACTTCCTATGGGAAAATTAATAATAATAATAAAGAATTAGGCAAATAATAAAATATCATCGCAGTTTCACAGTTGCTGTCTTCTAAGGCCAAGATACCAAACTATACAAATACTGATAAATAGCAGCATAGATATGTCCAACACAGATATAGTAGGTAAACGTGATAACTTTAACTCTATAACATAAAAAGTACTGTCTGTTTTAATCGTAGACTTAAATTAAGATAAAAAAGAATAACCTGTGCTTTTAACTACAGATGGTATTGAAGACATAGGAAAACCTTAAGTGAAAGTCAAAATTTTGAATGTAATTGTATTTCATTGCAGATAAGAAATTTAGAAATGCTATAAAAGGGCCACTGTGACTTTGAATTATCAATTGTGATAACAAATTATAAAGACCTTCCGCCATGGCCGTTGTGGCTCAGTTGGTTGGGTATTGTCTTTTTGCACCTCAAGGTTGCTGGTTGGATTCCCAGTCAGGGCACATGCCCAAATTACTGGCTCAATCCCCAGAAGGGGGAATGCAGGAGACAGCCAGTTAATGTTAAGCTCGCTCTCACGTGGATATTTCTTTTCTCTAAAAAATCAATAAACTATTCTCTAAAACAAAAAAAAGACCTTCCCGCTCTGAAATTTCTTAATAATGATCAGTGTAGGTGAGACACACTTAATTTTTATAAATAAGATATTAAGATATAAGTTTTAGAAAATTGATTCCAATATTTTAATACAGGATATAACAACTAATAAATTAATCTAGTTTGCACATAACCAACATCTTATAGTTCAAGGTTATTTTTTTCATTCATAATAACCAAATGCGTAAGTATGTACCTTTGAGGTTTACCACAAACAATATATATGCAAATAATTGAAAAAAATAAGTAACCTGTTTTTAAGTCCAATGCATTGTAAATTATGTTAAAAGTATCATTATATAGGAGAATCAATTGTTATATAGAAGGAACCAAGGGGAAATGTATGGGTCAATCCTCTATAATTTAAAATTAGCCAGAAAATTTCTATCTTAATTGCAAGTGCTAATTTTCTGCTAATAAAATGTTATATTTGCAGAATTTCCTGTTCTTCATCTATGTATTCTCAACATAAGTGGGGAAGAAGCATCATTCATGTAGAGCTGGTTTTGCTCAGCAGTTACTGAGAAGAAAACAAAAATAAAACAGGCTTCAGAGCATAGTAAAGATAGTGCCATGCTCAGCGCTGTAGGGGAGTGGGGCTTCCATTTCGGTCTGGAGTGGAATGGAGAGTGGATCAAAGAAATCTTCCCAGAGACTGTACACACACAGTAGACTTCAAAAAGTGTACTGAATTGTTCTCCCAAAATAAATAGTATAAAGGTTTTAAACCACCCCTATGGACAACCGTATTAACAATTCAGTCAACATGCATACATATTAATGTGGACCATAATGTGGACCAAAAATCAAAGTAAACTGGAGGCCCTTGTTAAATGAGAAAATGTAGGGTGTTAAATAACAATTACCCTGTGTGTCCTCCTCACTCCTAAGTGATGGCCAGGTGTGCTGAAAGCACCCTGAGAGAAGCACATGTTTGGGGTGATTTGGTACATAGCTCTTGTGCAAAGGACATCTCATTTACTTTGAAGCAATAAGTGCACCCCAGAAAGAATGCTCCTCTCCAGATTGCAGAGAACAAACTGTCTCATGTTGTATGTGGCATTTAATCCGACTGTTAGAGCCAATGGGCATGAGTTTTCAACTTGAGATAAGTGAAAACTAAACATTTCAACCTCAGACTTGAGTGTTTTGGTGTAACATATAAAATGTACTCTGCTGAGACCTTAACCAAAGTATTCTGCCCCCCTCTTTGGTTTATGTTTAGTAATTTTTTAGAAGGTTTCATTTTCATTTTAAAAGAAGAACACACAAAAACCACCCTCCGGGAAGCACCTCCACCTTTCATTAAAGAACACAGAGTTGGAAGGACCATCATTCTCACTTTGACAAGTGAAGAAACTGACCCAACTGCCAAAAAAAGTTGTTTTTGCTTCTGCTATTGTATAAAGCAGTTCATTACCTGGTACAAAGATAATATATTAGAACACTGTTAAATATGATTATAGTTAATCCTTAATTACACATGTGAATCATCCATTTTGTGAACTAATCATTAACAATTTTAATTTTCGTATCTGCTCCCTTTTTTTTTCTATTACTATTCTGAGTTTTCTAATATACTAAACACACAAAAAATGAAAATGCTTTACATTGGATACCTAATGTAT